TGTTTCCAATGTCCTAAAGGCAAATGGCTATACAAAAACTTTTCTCCGTAACTGACGAGTGTCTACCGTAAGTCTACTGTACTGTTTTGTACAGTAAATGGTTTGAAGCCGGGGGATAACATGTGGAAGTGTAGTCTGATAACCAATAAGCTCTTAATTGTTAAACAAATTCTCCTTGCCAGCACCTAAGGAAATGTATAGAGATGAGTATGGGGAGAATATGCATACTGATGCTAGGACTAATGGGGTTCATGAGGCCATTTACTTAGTTTAACCACCGCAATCTTCTATAAGCGTCCTTCAGTGATAGTGTGTAGTGTTTGAATTCGGGTGAGAATGTAACACTTGCCCACCTAGCCGCTTCCTGACTTGCTTTTGTGTACACATTCTCCATTTCTTTTTTATACAATTCCCTAAGGTGCTGACAAGGAGAATTGGTATCACAATCAAAGAGTTTCTTTGGTTAGTGATCGTTTCGTTTATTCTCCTGACCTTAATGAGTAATTCAGAGATGATATTGTAAAGAGAAATTAGATGCTCGTTTATTCTCCGGACCTTAATGAGTGATTCAGAGGTGATATTGTAAAGAGAAATTAGATGCTGGTCACTCCTAGGGGTCTACAAAGGGTTAATAAAAGAAGTCAATTTTGCAATAAGTCAAACAATGATGGTGAGAAATATTTTAACGTGAAGCAAAGAAGCTAGCGATATGTAATGAACTCTCATTAATGGAGTGCTGTGAAATAAAAATTGTAATCAATAGCTAAGTGGGTAGGAAAATCAGTCAGTGAGATGAAATACTACAACATATGAAATTATTTTTTTAAACTTCCACTTCATGAAACAATTTTGAGCCAATTCGAAATTTAGAATAAATGGATGTATAAACAATAGCTCTATATTTGGCGTGAAAATATGTACGGATATTTGTTCGCGGACATTATCTGTTCCAAGATGCCAACAGTTTTCCAAGAGCGGAGTTCGAGGAAAACTGTAAACCGTTTAGACCAAGAGCACGCGAGCCAAAATTATTTTGATGGATCATAAATATTCTTAAAATACGAATGCAAGGGCAAGTTATCGATTTAAGCGACGGAAGTAACTGCTCACTTATTTTCCAATGTTTTCAAAATACCAAACTGAAATGAAACGTATCCATTCGACTTAAAACAACAAAGCAGGGGATTCAAGAACACGAATTCCTCTGGGTAACGTTTTAAACTTTTGCTCAATTTTTTTTTATCGCTGTCGGTTGTCTTTTGAAAAATATTTTTGGGAGTTTAATCTCCTCCTTTTAAAAGGACACGAAAAAAACCTATGAGGGCGCTAATAAAGGCGAACATGCCGGTAAGCAAATGCAGATGAGAATCGAAAAGAAACACGAATCACCAAACCCTTCGGAAACAAGCGAAAAAACTGACAGAACACAAAACAAGCTATGCTGGTAATAAACACTGAGAAAAAAATCGCGGATAAAAAAAATCTTGCAATTAGATCTTACAAGACCTTTGCTTTGATTCCTCTTAAGGTTTTTTTCTTTATCTTTATGTAAATCAGGAGTGAGAAAACAAATGTGGAAACAAACAAAATAATCCTTCGTCTGATCCACAAAAATTACAACAAAGGATCTTGTGGCATTCCGTAGTGTGAAAAACTTAATTATTTTGCAATCCTTAATCTTGCATATTCATTTTTTTTTATCAAGGGACCACCATAATATATTCATAACTTAAAACAATTTTTATGCAAAATTCTGGGCAAAATTTGTATTCAGCGAAGTTTGGCTAAGGTCTGCTCTTATTGTCGAGGACAGGATCAAGATGATTTCGGAAGGAGAAGGTATTGCATTCTATGAGCTGTATTTTAGATACTTATATCATGCTTTTTCTCTAGCACAAACACTTGATAGTGGATTGGCACCCAGTCATTTCTATTTTTCTGTGTTGTAATGTGTACAGCGCCGACAAGTACACTTGTACGTATTACTTATGGACAGAATTCCTACGCCCATCCGTCGGAGAGATGAATTAATTGCTTTTATTCCTCGGTATAGAAAGGGAAACCCGTTCTTAAAATTAATGATAGGCACCAATTGAACTGTTTTGTATTGCTGGAATACTGTTCCTACCTCCAAAGAGCTGACGCTTCATATCGGCAAGATTTCATGACGAACACAATTCAGATTTTGCACAAGTAGCCAAAAGACCTGAAGAGCGAATAAATGTAGAAGAAATAAAGCTGATCACATGGATATATACTACTTCGCTTCATGCTAATGCATTATTTGAATTACAGAGAAATTTACAAGTGATTGTCAAAAATATTATCATGTCTTCGCTCTTTAATTTCAAATGAAGTTTAAGAGGGCCGTAGTTTCAAAAGTCCTTTGTCAGTTAAGAAACGAGCGAATTTCACTGTACTATAATCCCAGAAAAGAAACAAAACAGACTACTGAAGATGACAAAAAAAATGTGCTCTGCGGAGAAAACTGTAGGTTAGTACATTAGGGTAGACATGATGCTCAAGGGAAAAATTATGAATAGCGAGTTCCGTTTCTTGGCAGAATGAGCTTCGATTGCAAAACCGCAGCTTTCTTAGCTGCGCTAGAATACGTATTAGAGAATGTCTATAATGGTGCATCGGATATTTATCACTTCCAACAATAAATAATAGGGTTCGTTGAAAAAGTGAGAAAAGCTAAATTCCAGGAAAAAATTGAGAAACCGGTCAGATATTTTCGTGAATCAACGGCGCTCATGACTATGTTGATAAATGTAGAAGTCCCTGGTGGTTATATGAAATTCAGGACGACAAGATATCTTGAATATAAAGATAAATGAAGAGTATTTCAATCTACGAACCCTTCGGGAATAAAATGAAATTCAACTTCTCGATCCGTGGAATTTATCTCTTTCACGTCACAGTAAGCCAGTCTCCTGTCTGAAGAGAGGACATGTCCAACATACAGCGACCGGGTAGATTTTGAAATTGCTTCTCCAGCTGTAAGGAGGAGATTGTCATAAGAATGTCTTCAGGGTATTTGGGGAAGGACAAATTCACCTTCCACGCACTTAAAACTTCTTTCACTGCTATCTTTTTTTAATTTTTAGGATTCCGTCTTTGATTTTATTTTTTATTATTTCGCCTTACGTAAGCCTTTTCGTGCCATTCAAGTTAGCACTTGCGACGTCACAAAAACTACGTGAACCGCTTAATTTTCGATAATGCTAAGTGTCTTATAACAAAAATGAATTAAAATTAAGGAGGTTAGGTAATCTATAGGGCAAACTCTACAGTGACTCTTAGGTCAGGTCATGATATTAGGCGTTGTTTCCTGCGAAATGTAAAGCAAAATAACATATCCCAAACATTCCAGCGGAGTAGTAGAGTAGAGTTAGCTTGAAAAAGACGTCATTTCCTGCAGAAGAGCTTGGGCAAACCCCAGATACTATGGTCGTTCGCAAGGTGTGGCGATGGGATTTAATGAACCGTTTCCCCATTCTTTCACGATTTCTTTGTCATTCGATGGTCCTCGTCAGCAATCACTTATCTTAATCCTTAATAACTTGAGAGGTGTTTCGTCAGAGGAAGAGGAAATAGATATTCCGACTACCACAAATCAATGGCTACTTATTGATTGTGCAACTGAAGTCTGATCAAAAAGATCATTCAGTTACACTCGTATTGCAATTTTCCTTATCTTTACGTGACGAAACTTCTAACAAGGGTTGCGTAGGCGGTTTCTTGTCACTTGAGACTGTTTAACGAGCATTTGGGCTCCAAAATTCCAACACGACTATTACTTGTATATTAAGTAGGACCGAGTTCTAATAATTTTTTGGGAGGAACTGACCATTATGGAACACTCCAATCTCTCCAAAGGACAATAAAATTGTTGTTCAAAAATCTGTTTAAACGATTTAAGTCAAAAATTTGTTAGTATTTACAAAATAAGTCGATTATAAAGACAAACCTGTGATGAAGTACGTGACACCAATATTGGCCCTTTGTTATGATGTATATTTCTACTAATACGATTAGGGTTAAAATCCAAAGGCTGTGAAGAATGTTTAAGATCATCATATCGTGTCGAAAGGGGGTCATTCAGCGGCAGTCAAATATGGAGATCTAAA